TCCATGTGAATTTGTTAAAACCAAAGTTTACGACAAATTCAAACTCATATGGATCGAACTTCTTAATCTTGATTTCTTGCCTTATGGTAGCACAGCTGCCCACCACGTCTTCCAAGTAGTTAAGCAGCTCACCTTTTCCTATCAATGTACTTTCCATTGATCAAGGTCCTTGCCTTTTATGCATTCAAATGAGAACTCATAGGACTCACATGCATAATTAACTCGATTGGATTGGCACAGAAACAAAATAATGTCTTCACGATAGGTTGTAAACCTCAACTCGTGTGCTAGTGATGATCGATAAGGTTTATTTGATTTGTTCTTGAAACTTTTCAAGACTATTAAGACTCCCACTGACTCCTTGACATATACGATTCTCTTATCAAAACATTTCTTGACAAACAAATATTCAAGAGTTAGTGTAGCTTATCAAAACAAAACACTTCATAATTTGGTCTTAGTTGGTCTTTGTCTTATCCAAGACATCACAACTTTCCACAATTGATGAATGTTATAAACCTTCTTAATACTATTCACTCAATGTCACAATCTTGACTTTAAGACTTGTTTTGGAACGAAGTATGATTGACTTCTTGATTTGACCATTTCTTCAATCTTTGATTCCTCTTCTTGGACATACAATTGTACCAAGACTCACTTAGAGGATCAATTGAGATATGGTTCTTAATCATTAAGACCTATCATAAAGCATAAAAGCTACTCTCCCTTCTTCTTAGAATGGAGAAACTCTTATCTTTCTGCCTACTTGATTCTTCTTATTCGTTTTGCTATTGATCTAAACCCTTTAATCAATTCAAAATTACACTTAATCTTGTAAGTGTAATCATATTTACTAAGCCTTTAGTAAATCATGACGAATATCTTTGTTACTCTTATGGTGAACTTGATCAACACACAACTTTGTGTACTCGATCTCCTAGTCCTTCACTTGACACTTTGTCAATGAATTAGTCCAATTTCCAAATACGAAATTTCTCATTCATCATGCAACCAAGTTGCATGATTCCAAGTTTCTGTCCAATTGAAACTTGGGCGATGAGAAACTCTCCCTATTTGGTAAATTCTCGACATTTCCATAAATAACATAACTAAGAATCATATCCATTCGTTGTAGAAATATGCAAACATCAATTTTCACATAACGATTTCATTGCAAGGAAGTAAACAAATAAATAAATAAGTCAAACAAAATTTATTTTATTTATAAAAGCAGCGGAAAAACATTTGTCCTTACAATGCAAAATCTATTGAAAACTATGTAAAAAGAAAATTTCTAACAACTCTATCATAACTATCTAAGCTCAAAATCCAATCTTCAAGTCCATGCAGATCGAGATCCATCTCTTGTGATTAGATTCATCTTGCTCTCTTATCAAGCTTCCTTTCTTTTCACCGATCCTTCAAAACATTCAAATGCAATCTTATCACATCATGTATTAAGAATCAATGAATAGGAACTTAATGGAGTTAGATAGTGGATTCTTACCTAAAGCGTAGTCATACTTTTGACTCTCCCATCTCTTAGATCTCTTAGGTAAATAGGGCAACTTCGTCTCCAATGCCCCTTCTCTTGGCAATAAAAGCAAATTGACTCCTTTGGAACAACACATGGAACTACTTCAGACATCGCCTTTCTCTTATGATCAAACTTTTCGATCATTGCATGTCTTTCATTGCCATTGTCTATATCCATAGAGGTCTTGAAGGCAGATTCACCAATCAACTTTGCTTTTCTATTGCGCCAAACCATTGTTGATTCAGCAGCAATAAGCATGTAGGTGAGATCTATAAGTGTCACGTCGCGGTTCATCATATAGTACTCTCTTACGAACTCACTATACGAGTTAGGAAGTGACTGAAGAACCCAATCAACAGCCATCGCTTCACCGACAACGGATCCCATCATTCTTAATCTATCAATGTGTGACTTCATCCCTAAGACGTGTGCACACACCGACTTGCCCTCTTTATGTTTACTTGCCAAAAGGGCTTGAGTGATATTGAACCTTTCAATTTTACAATCTTGTGGGTTAGGGAGAATAATTGGAGGAGGAGGAGGAAGTGAAGCATGATTTCTTGTTCCTCGATCGAATCGTGGAATATCATCTTCATGTGGAATGCTTGTTCCACGGGATTTGAGAAGACCATAGTTGTCGAACTTTGACATCGGGAGAAAAACGAATTCAAGTTAGTTGATTGATTGAGTCCTTGGTAAATCACCCAAATGAAATTCCAAGGCTAGGACCCAACACAATATCCTACAACTCGGGAGAGGGATGCCGTAACCCAAATTGCAGAACATTTGAAGGTAAGTGAATGACGATTCACTAGTTTCCACCATGAAAAACGAAAAAGAAATTTAAGTTTTAAATCTATGAAAACTCCTAGATCCTTTGAGATTCATTGAACATTTCAATGGCATGTTTAAATCTCGATATGCCCCTCTGTTTGTGACTGGGATGCCGAGGATCACAAAGCGGGTGTGAATAACCATGCAAACTACATGGTGCCCTCACATGTTACAATCACCTATTCGATGTGCCGGTAAACCACACACGCTCCACCGAACTATGACAAACATTGAGTCACCCTTTGCTACCTTTGCTTAGAACCATTTAGTGTGCCGGTAAACCACACACGCTCCACTAACGTCTTCGCAAGGGCACAAAGTGTAATTTCATGGAATTGCATCAATTCACTTTTGCCTAAGTAACTAAGATTGGGAATTTGAAAAACATTTAGTTACTTTGTATTTCATTATACTTATAATGGAAGGTTTCGTCCTATCCTACCCGTTCGGCTAACGACCCTCCACTAGTCAAGAGTGCGGTGGGTAAGAGTGGATACCCATTCAATCGCCATTTTATAGGCAATTTCCTTAAACACCCCTTATAGACCAGCTTCGTGAATGAGGCCTACTAACGGTAAGACTGACTTTTACTCATACATATATATAATGTTATATATATATATATATATATTATATTTATATATATATATATAGTATAGGGTGTATTTACACTTTTAAAATACTATATGGTTAACTTTAACAATTACACTTTTAATTCAATTAAATAGTTAACCTAAACTTTTATGGATTTATTAAACCTCTTTTAATTATACTCCTTAATTAATTAATAAAACCATAAGGGTGTGATTTGAACTTTTCAAAACATTACTAGGTTTTAGAATTTAACATTTCTAATTAAACCTTTTAATCAACTTTTAAATTCCAAAACTTGAGGGCAAGTTTTGAAACCTTTTTCAAAACATTAGGGTTTTAACTATTTAAATTTCAAAACTTCAAAACTTTTGGGTTCAAATTTAAACTATAAAACCTAAAGGGAAAATATGAAACTTTTCATAACAACAAGGATCAAATAACAAATAATTTTAAATTAACATTTAATCACATAATTATCCATATTTGATTTATTTAATGATTTCTTGCAAAACAATTTATCAATTTACTCAAAATAATTAATCAATTATCTTATAAGGAAACAATTATCTTGTTAATTGATAATTATCTTTAATTAGATCAAGAATATAGTCATATATATCATAAAATCGGATTTATATTGATCTAACATGATAAGGTAACTATCCAAATGCAAAAACAGCAAGAAATCCCGAGATAAGCATTATCTGACGCTCGAACTCGCCGAGTACCACACTGTACTCGCCGAGTTGAGGTCTACTCGCCGAGTACACTGTGGTACTCGCGAGTTCCTCAGCCATAAAGCCCAAAAAACGATTTTCCAGTTATACAATGCATCAATACAATTGAAACCAAGCTAGGCTCTGATACCACTGATGGGTTTTGGTCATAAGACATCCTATGTGCTCATACAAACCCTAATGCTTGGATCTAGGTTTCTCTATTGTACATGCTTTGAATCCAAGACTATAAACCCTAATTCTAACATATGGAAATCGACATTAACATATAATTAGGTTTAAGAACATACCTTGATTGTTATATAGCAATAACAATCACAACTCCACCTTGGATTGACTTTGGAATGCTTAGAGTCACAAGTGTCACTCCTCTAATGGCTTACAAACACCATAAGCAAATGGAGAAGGTATAAAGAGAGAGGTGAGAGGTTAGAATTCGTATCTAGGACCTCTTGGGAAGGGATACACGAATTCATGACCCTAGGGGTGTTTATATAGGTGTAGAGATAGGGTTTCAGTCATTATCCTTATCTAGTTGATTATCCATTAAGCAACCAATAAGATAATCCTTGAATCCTTATCATACTCGAATTCTAAGGCTTTACAACCTTAAATTCGTCCACCATATAAATAGGATAATCCATACCTTATTTTGTAACTATCACATAATTACAAATCAGCCCCTCTAGTTTAATTAATTACATTTGATCACAAAACTAATTCTTAATTAATTATTGACCAATATTAATCAAACAAATATGATTTCTCCTTTAATATATTATTCTTATAACATATTAATAAATCATATTATCCTCTCTCTCTTTATTCATTTCTCCAATCAAGTTGCTTTGGTGAAGGCAACCCAAAAGGACCATGCACCATCGGGTCAAGTACATACCAAAATAGTTATGGACTTAGACACTAATCCAACAAACACCACATTGTGTGTGTGTGTGAGAGAGAGAGAGAGAGAGAGAGAGAGTCAGACTAAAAAATGTTTCTTTTTTGTTGTAAGAGAAAGAGAGATATGGAGAAGAATGGGGATAATGGTATTTTTTTTAATTGTTGTAATAAAATGAAATTTTGTTTTTTATTTTTCTTTTAATAAAAAAAATATTTAAATAAATAAAATATTTAAAAAAAAATAAGGACAAAATCGTTCAAAAAAAATTGGATCAATCCCACAACAAAATTAAAGTTCAAGACCAAAATGTTATTTTTTGACATAAAGGGACCATTTTTGTAGTTTTATCTGAAGAATATATCAGTCGCGGGAGAATCGGGGCTGTTTGTCGATACAAATTACTACAAATCTAGAAAACTGGTGGCTTCTGCTTCTCATTCTCAAAATGATCGATCATATACTTCTTCTTCAAAAATCATCGGAAATCCAAAAATGGGTGCCACTTCCTCTGTCTATGACAATTCATCAGTTCATGATTTCACAGTCAAGGTATTTTTCCATAATCATCGTGTGTCAAATCGTTAAGTTTTCAGATTTCAATTAAGATTCGTTCGATTTGAAATTCATTATAAGTGAACCTAGATCATTCTATTTGAAATTCGTGGAATGTGGGTTTATATTCATGCGATTTTGAGAGGCATTGAAAGTGAAACCGGACGCATTCGATTTTAAATTCGTTGAATTTGAGATGCAGGATAGCAGTGGAAAGGACGTGGATCTTAGCATCTACGATGGGAAAGTTCTGCTTATTGTCAATGTTGCTTCCAAATGGTTGTTTCTATATTCCTATTATCCTTTTCGATCGTATTGCATAATGCGTGTTTAATTAGTTAATTTAGCTTCGATTACCGAATTCAGGGTTTGTATGTTCATTTTTGTTTGAGGGTTTGAATGTTGAGTTTTTGTTTTCATATTGGATTTCGTTTCTGATCAATCAGTTTTTGGTTATAATGCAACAGCGCATTAACCAATTCGAATTACACCCAACTTACCGAGCTGTACAGGAAATACAAGGATAAAGGTATAAGCTCATACCCACTTTTTAGTATCATTCCGTAAGTAATTGTATCCGAGATATTGCTTGTCAATGAATTTCATACACACCATACACAACAGAATGACCAATAATAGATGTAAAATCACATACTATCACCATCATATTAATCCAATCAGTGGTTTCTTGATTATGATTTTTGAAGTCATAATCATAATCAGATATTCACGTCCAAACACCTGTTTCTTGTACTTCACAAGACTATAAAGCATCAAAACTAGAAGGCTACTTTACGTTATGAAACTTCAGCTGACCTGATTAGGTTTCAAAGCCTAAGTTATGAAGCTGAAGCAAAATCTTGAATCAGGTTTTGTGATATTGGCATTCCCTTGCAATCAGTTCTTGAAGCAAGAACCAGGGCCGATAGAAGCCACGGTCCAGTTTGTCTGTGAGAGGTTCAGTGCTGAATACCCAATTTTTGGAAAAGTAAATTGTTTCGTTCATTCATCCATTTCACTTTTCATCCTCATGTTAATTCCTGGGGTTTGTTTTCATATGTTTGCTTGTTTAAGAAACCAGGTAAAAGTGAATGGCACTGAAGCAGCACCATTATTCAAGTATTTGAAAGCAAATGGAGGTGGTGGATATATGGGCACAACCATCAAATGGAACTTCACAAAGTTTCTGATTAGTAAGAAAGGCAAAGTAATACGTCGAGTTGGCCCAAGGACTGAACCATCCAGCCTTGAGGTACACTACTACATTACACACCATATGTTTCTTGTTATATATATATATATATATATATATATATATATATATATATATATATATATATATATATATATATATATATATATATATATATATATATTGCTACTAAACATTTCATAGAAATATGTGATTTGGGTTTGATCTTGATGTTGCAGGATGACATCCAGAAAGCATTAGAAGAGAACCCTAATGAAAACTCGGTGTGATATGAGTTTTCACCCTCTGTTATCTTAGAAATTAGACCATGTGTCATTCTTCTTTTAAATTTGTCATATCATCTTTTGTAATTATCTCTTCATCAATGCAATATCAACTCTTCTTCAAAAGGGATCTCCACTACCATATCAACAATTGTTTTATATTTGTCATATCATCATTTGTAATTATCTCTTCATCAATGCAATATTAACTCTTCTTCAAAAGGGATCTCCACTACCATATCAACAATTGTTTTATATTTGTCATATCATCTTTTGTAATTATCTCTTCATCAATGCAATATCAACTCTTCTTCAAAAGGGATCTCCACTACCATATCAACAATTGTTTTATATTTTTATTTGGCAAAGATCATAATCATTTAAAATTAGTAATTAATCAATAATAAATTTGATGCATTTGTGTCTTTTTTAAAATGTAAATTGTCATAGAAAAGTTTCTTAAAGATTGTTGTACAACTAATCACCTTTATTGTTGTAAAACTAATAACCATAAAATGGAACTTTTATCTTTTATTTCAGAAAAACATTTGAAAACCATATTGGGAGGTGAAAGTAATGTTGGTAAAAATGTTGGGATAAATGGATTGGGTGCGGGTCAAATAAGTAAATTCTTAGGAATAATGAAAACGGGTTAGGTTGACCCAACAAATTATTTATTTTATGGAAAATGGGTAATCTAACCATAATGCAATGTGTATTTGAAGAACATAACCAAACTTTTTGTTTTTGAAAAAATAACCAAGTCTGGAACAAATGATTTCAAAAAAATTGAAACAAAAATATATTTTGGACCGACATTCCGGATAATGGACTTAAATTTCGGAGTTCAAAAAAATAACTCCAAAATTTAAAAAACAAGTCTGAAATCCAATGAATTGTTTTGAAATATAAAATCAAACATTTCAAATATAAATAAAGAAACTTCTTTGAAAAAAATATAATTTTTTTTTTTTTTTAGATTTTGAACAACAATCCCAAATGAAAATTTTGGGAGAAAATTTGTTATTTTCCAAAAACTAAATAAAAAATGGTTATTTTCTTTAAAAAAATCATTTATACTGGTTAGTTTATTTAATTTCTTTTTATTTTACCATCTATAATATATTTAAAAAAGTTATTAATTTATAGTATTTTAAATATGATAAAGAAATTTATTATTAAATTATGAACAACCTTCTATACTATAAAAGATATATTTTTTCATTCATCACATTCATTTAAAACTCCAATAACTTTTTGAATTTTTTCTCATAATGATTGTAAATTAATTAATAATGTTAAACAAGTGAAAAACATAAATTATAATCCTAAATTAACTAAACATCAATACTAAAATAACATATTTATTCTAACTTATAAAGTTATTTATAAAGTTATGTCTTTAATTTGAAACGTATTATACTTAACTTATTACTGTGGATATTTTTTATATGTGAACCATTGCTAATTTAAAGTCAAAAAATTTAAATAGTTTGTATAAAATACTTAAATTGTTAATTTAAATATAACGTTAAAAAATTAACTTAGATCAGATTTCCATTTAAACTTAAAATTTTAAGATTATTTTATAAATAGTTAAAAGTTATAAACTATAGAGTTAAATACAAAATCTAAATTGTAATTTCAAATCAACCAAAAGGTTCTAAAATTATTGTTATAATAATTAAGTGTTTCTGAATAAGTAGTGTAAAAATAATTTACAATAATAATAGTTAAAATTAAAATTATATACAGAAATTATATTGTAACCTTTAAAAGCAAACACAATATTTGATGTTTTAAATTATTACAATGATAGAAATTAAAATGTTTACAAAGTAATTAAAAAAATAATTAACCATAACAAAAAACTAAAAATATCGTTAAACCATATATTATATTTAATTTATTCATTAATAATCCGCATATAAATGATATTGAGACAATTGAGATCACATAGTTTAAAAGATGTCGATATTATCATATAATTCAAAATAAACACTGTTTCATATTAACTTAGTATAAAAAAAATTTATACTAAAAATGAAAATGATTTTGCCATTTTTCATTTTTTAATGCATTATGTCACATGATTTTTTTTTATTTTCACTTTTTTCCGCATGTCATTTTATGGGTTTTGTTTTCATTTTATTAAATTTCACATAGTATTTAAATGTAATAATAAATGCATATCAATTTCATTAATGAGCTTTATTTCTAATTTCAAAATTACTAAACTAAAGCATCTTTAATTTCATTTGTTTATTTATCTAAATTCTTTGTTTAAATTTAAAAGAGAACAAAAATTAATTTTAAAAATTCAATATTTTTTTCACTTTTCTTATAAATTCAAACTTTTCAAATGTTTAAAATTTATTTTTTTAAAATAAATCCATGTAATACATGAGTCTCACACCTAATAGTATACTATAAAAAGATGCATTTTTTTTCATTCACTGCATTAATTTGAAACCCATATGACTTTTGGATTTCTTTCACATTATGATTGCAAATTGATTAATAATGTTAAACAAGTGAAAAACATATTATAATTCTAAATTAACTAGACTTCAATACTAAAATAACATATTTTACTTCCACTTATAAAATTATGTTTTTAACTTTAAACATATTATACTTATTAGTTTGGATATTTTTTATATGTGAACCATTGTCAATTTAAAGTCAATTTTTTTGAATAGTTTGTATAAAATATTTAAGTTGTTAATTTAAATAAAACGTTAAAGGGTTAACGTAGATCGGATTTTCGATTAAACTTAAAAGAAAATCTAAAAATTATTTTGTAAATAGTTATAAGTTATAAATTGTAGAGTTAAATGTAAAACCTAAATTGTAATCTCAAATTAACCAAAAAATTAAAAAATTATTTTTATAATAATCAAGTGTTTCTAGATAAATAGTATAAAAATAAATTACAATAACAATTGTGAAAAGTAACATTATATATAAAAATTATATTGTAACCTTTAAAAACAAACACAATATTTGATGTGTTAAATAATTACAATGAAAAAAAAAAGATTCGTACCCAACAGTTTTTTGTCATACACAACAATTCATGCATTATATAGTTGTACAATACAACATTTTAAAGCACCAATTGTTGTGTATGGAGAAAAATTGTTGTGTACAGATCAGCTCTAAAAAAAATTATAAAAAAAAATTAGAAAAATAATTAATCATATCAAAAACTATAAATATCATTAACTATATATTATCTTTGATTTATTAATGAGTAATACGCGGATAAAAAGACCATTGAAACAATTAAGATCATATAATTTTAAAAGATGTTGATATTATCATATTATTCAAACTAAACAATCTTTTATATTAACTTAGTATTAAAATTATTATATCAAAGTTAGCAAAAACGCCATTGTTATATCTTAAGCAGTTTTCGCGGTCGAAATTTCAATAGCGGTCACATGTTGTTATTTGAAATCACGGTTATCAGGGTGGTATAGCAGTGATATAGCGGTTTTTTAATATTATGTATACTTTATATTATATATTTATACAAAATTTATATATTAGATTATTAATACTACATAGAATTAATATCATAAACAATCATATAAAAAAATAACTTAATCTATATATAATATTCTAATATAGTAATATGGAAACTGGAAAGTGTCAATATGCCATCACAGCTCAAGACGTTCGTAGTTTCTAAGTACTAAAATAGACGAGAAATGGAAGTTGTCATTTGTTTCTTTGTAGTTTGTAATTAATTATATTTATTATTTGGACATATTAAGATAAAAAGAGTAGTGACTAGTTAAAAATAAAGATTTAATATTGAAATAACACACATCGTTTTTTTCTTTATCAAAGTAGCCAAATATGTATGAAATTGTAAAAGCGGGTGTAGCGTCGCTATAGTGCTAATGAGGTTCGCGGTAAATAGTAATCAATAGCGCCACCACTATTTGTAAACGCTTTTTCAAAATAGTGGTTCAGTAGCACTACAAAACGCTATAACATCGCTATAGCGCGCTATTGATAGCATAGGTTATATCTAAAAAAGCATATATTTATGAAGATTTCAACTATATAGTTGTATTTTGCACAACGCGCAAATGTTTACATAGTTTATGAATAAAGGAGTACATTTTTTCATGGAGTAATCTTTATAAATGTGTAACACCCGTATTCTGAAGTATAATTCTTTAAGTTTGAGTTTGCCATTCTTGAATTTTGGTGCCCTACGTTGAGAGTAGGTAGAGGTTCCCTTGCGAGGGTTTAATGCCCTACACTGAGCGTAGAGCTAATTACGCTGAGCGTAGCTGCGTAACACCAAACCCCTAATTATGGGGGTGTGAGCCCTATTTAAAGGCTCCAACTCCTTAAAGGTCTTTCCATGATCAACATTCGCCCTCATATTCAATCATCTCAAAACCCTAGCCACCTTGTGAGATTTTAGAAGCCTTAGAGTGTTTGTGTGTGCATTCTTGAAGCAAGAGTCCATTCGAGAAGCATTTGGGAGCTCCAAGATTTTTAGATCCAGATTTTGCACCTCATCATCCATCTCCGAATGTATAAAGTTTACATTTTAATGTTATTTTATGATAAATCTAGTTAGCTCATGAGTTTTTATGTTTTTTATCCCATAACCTTGGTCTAGTGAGCTATTATCAGAGGTTTATTTAGCTAATTACATTGAGCATAGGTGCGCAACACCAAAACCCTAACTATGGGGGTATAAGCAATATTTAAAGGCTCTAACTCCTTAAGGTCTCTACATGCTCTGTCTCCACCCTCATATTCAATCATCTTGAAACCCTAGCCATCTTGTGAGATTTTAGAAGCCTTATAGTGTTTTTGTGTGCATTCTTGAAGCAAGATTCCATTGGAGAAGCATTTAGGAGCTCCAATCTTTGTAGATCCATTTTTTTGCAGCTCATCATCCATCTTTGAAGGTATAAAGTTTACAACTTGATGTTCTTTTTGTTGGATTAGTGTCTAAGTCCATAACTATTTTGGTATGTACTTCACCCGATGGTGCATGGTCCTTTTGGGTTGCCTTCACCAAAGCAACTTGATAGGATGATTTATCGAGAGTAAGGATTAAATATGATTTATTAATGTATTATGAGAATAATATATTAAAGGAGAAATCATATTGTTTAATTAATATTAGTCAATAATTAATTGGTAATTAGTTTTGTGACTAAAAGAGATTAATTAAACTTAAGGGATTGGAATTGTAATTATAAGATAATTATAATTTGGGCCATGGATTGCCTTGTATCAAGGGTTGGACGAATT